ACTGTGTGTACAAAAAACAATAGACTTCAACCTTCGCCTACCATGTACTACTTGACCTATTTAAATATGATTGGTCATTAGCATGTCCTTTTGTTTTTATTTAACTGAGTAATTGTCATGAACTTTATTTTATTATTGTTAACCATGTTAGTTGTAAAGCGGTTGTAAAGAAACTACGAAATGACGATATCATCTCGCGAAAATTTTCTTCTTAATGCCTTATTCAAATTTACTGTTTCCATGGTAAGTAAACTCGGGATATATCAATTTACAACTCTCGTTCTTAAAAAAAGAGTTAGAAGAATAGATAGGAAACCCTATAGTCAGGTTTTATGCTTCGTGGAATTCGTCAGCAAAGCGTATCTCTACAAACCCGTTTTTGCAAGTCAGAGATGCTAGCAGTGAAATATTAAGGAGGATGATCTTATGGCCCAAGCTTTCACCAATGTCAGCATTCTCAGCCTATATATTAACGGTGATATGCTGATACAAGGAATGACTATCATGAATATGAGTATCATTCTTACCAAATCTATCACTTAACTTATTAAATGAAAATGTATTTTAATGAGGGTAATTTCATACATTTATTCCCCTTAATGAATTTGAACAAAGCAAGAACTACAGTTTTAGCAGAATAAAATGATACCATCTTTTGGGTATGGGTACCCTCAAAGGTTCATCAACAAGTATGGAAGATCTGAAGTCACAAATGTAAAACAAATCACAGTAGGAAAATAGCCAATCTACTTTCAGCTTGATTATAAAGGTGAAAACACTGCAGCGATGATCAACAGAAGGCTGAGCACATCACTAGTCATAGCCTATCCTGCGGCTAAGCTCGTTCCCGTTTATCAAACAACTTTCACTTTGATGAAATCAAAAATCGATATATATCCTTCTTATGTTAACTCCAACTGTGTATACAAATTTACATGTATCTGTGGGAGCAGTTACATTGGAAGGACAGAAAGAAGAAGGGCATATCTACGATTTTCTGAACATGTACCGAAAAGCTTATGTCTAAAGGGAACAAATGCTTTAAACAGTGCCATCGCTAGCCATCTCCTCGACACGGGTCATGAGGTGGACGTCGAAAAGTCGTTCAAAATTATCAATAAGCAAAGGAGCTCAATTCTCCTCAAGTTTGCTGAAGCCATTTCCATCAAGTGCCTGAAACCTGATTTATGCGTCCAGAAAGAAGCGGTTATCAGTCTTTCTTCGCCCTGGTGACTGGATATTTTTTTCATTTCTCTTTCATCTGAATGTGTATGGTTATTATTGTTCGGAATAGTGTTTAATATTATTAGTGTATGCGTGTACTGATCGATTGGATCTTGTTTAAAATGAACTCTGCAAGTATGTTAAAATCGTTTTTGTAGATATATTCAATAATGTTTTTGGCCTGTAAGCAGCTGACGAGAAGGCAACGAAATAAAAGATGGTACCACTTTATTCTCCTATTACTGTAGTTCTTGCTTTGTTCAAAATTAATGAGGGTAGTCAGTCAGTGTTTACATGGTTGAATTCTTAGCAGCTATGTATGTGATCTGAGTTCTCTTCCCAGATGATGCACTCGTAAATCCCGCCTAGATTACTACCGATGGGTAGCAGGTCCGGAAAAGATGGAAGGCTGAGCATGGGGCTAGTGACCACACCTTTTTACAAAAGCAGCTCCATTCTGTTAAGTGTCCTAGTTGAGTTGACAGATACAAGGTTAAGTGGCAACCCTACTTACTTCATTTTTCATTACAGGAGCAGAGTTTCATCACTCTGGAGAGTAAGTTTATGTAAGAAAACACATAGTAGTAGTACAGTACTAATAACTACATTTTTCTGACTTGCTATCGCAGCATGGGTGAGTAGAAAAAAATGGGTTGCACTTCACCAGCCATAAATGTTTCCTGAACTGACTTCCTTCGCTTGGTAATTACCACTTCACTATGAGCTGACACTGGTCAGAGAACCATTGGAAAACCTGGGAGTACTGGATAGCTGTTTCGTCCTAGTTTGGGACTCTCAACCAAATCCCTACAAACCAATATTTAAATATCAATGAGATGCTCACTGGCGACTGGCCCTATTCAGCTAGGTAGTTACCTGGAGTTCCAGTGGGAAGTGGTGACCAGTAGGGTGTAGCAGGTCGGGGGTGAGGAAAAATACTCGCCGAAGACATTGGCTAGTGGTTGCCCTAAATCGTGAATTGACAGAAGTTATAATTCATGGGTTGGCCATTGGATCGGGTCCCAGTGGCTTAATGGTATACGAGCTCGCCTTGTAACCAGAAGGTCCTGGTCTCGAACCCCGGCGGATACGTACTGATGAAGAGTTCCAAACTAGGATGAAACAGCTGTCCAGTACTCCCAGGTTTTCCAATGGTTCTCTAACCAATGTCAACTCATGATGAAATCCTGTAACCAATCAACCAAATCCCTACAAACCAGTACTTGAATTACCACTTCACTGGATATAATCGCGGGTACAGAGGCTTCTTGTTGACGAATATAGTATATTCCTTTCCTATCCTCGTAGTTCTGTGTTTTCTTACGACAATTCTCCGAACAAGTGTTCTCAGTTAGTGTATTTTACTCAGTCTTTAGTTCATTCTCATTCACATTTTTCGAATATATTACTCCCACCTTATAGCTCAGTGTCTCTGCCAAATTATTTGAGTACTCTTGAACAATGAGAGTACTAAGGAAATAAGATTCGAAAATAACCTATTTCGAAGTGAAATTTTTACCTCTGTGATTTATTGAAACTGTTTTTGGCGCACATTTGAATCACTTCAAATACTTTCTGATATGGTACATCTTTCAGCGTGTTTATTTCAAAGATTGAATAACTAACTACTCAAGTTGCCCATCCATGTAGTCATGATTCGTCGGGCCTTGTTGTTAGGGTAATATTTTTTAGCTGCTTTTATTATTATTGTTCCCTTGGGTTCCTAGTGGAACATACGGCTTCAACTGCACGTTTTCACTTGCTTCTGTCTTCTGCTGTACATTTCACCTGCATCCATGTTAGTCCATACTGTCTCAACTCCTCTTCACACGATCGCCGCCATGTCACCCTTGCACTGACGAACCACTCGCCGCTTCCATTTTGGGCTCCGCTCGAGCTATGGCCTGACGCGCGATGTCACCCAACGGCCTCCTCAGTGAGTGTCCAATCCATCTCCACTTTCTCCTGCATATTTGTTGAGAGATTGGTTCTTGCTTTGTTTGTTCCCATATTTTCTTGTTGGTGATTCTTTCCGGCCATCTGATCTTGAGCATAGAGCAAAGACAGCTGTTGATAAAGGTCTGCAACAGGCTGTTGGAAATATTCTTTGTGACCCGCTGGCCAAGTTTCTGATCCGTATAGAAGAAGAACTGACTTGACGTTTGTATTTTGAAAATCCGAATTTTGTTGTTGGTGCTGAGTGACGAAGATCTCCAGATTGGTTTCAGGTTGACGAATGTGTTTCTCACCTTCCCGATTCTGGATTTGACATCCTCGTCCGTTCCATGTGCCTGTAGTTGAGACAATGCTCCCTAGATAAGTGAATGAAGTAACCTCTTTCAAACCCTCCCGTTGATGGTGATTGGCGCAGGATGTTTCTGCTGCTGTTGTTGTTGTTGGTTGGTTATTTTCATAACCTCCGTCTTGTCTATGTTCTTTTAGCTGCTTAGTAGAAAATAAATGCAGTATATTTCCTAAAGTTTATATTATAGTGGTTTGTTAATTGACTAATGTCACGAACGGTATCGTACAAGACTCCAAGGTTGAATTCCAGTCGATCTGTATACTCATAAGCCACTATACAAAGAAGTTTTACTCACATCTTAGTATGTATACGTAAATGTATCAACTAAATTATGTTATCACTGATAAACTATGCGGTTAAAAGTAAGTTGAAGTATATGTAATAACACTTTCTTATTATGATTACATCAACAAAACAGCGACAACAGCTACAACAACCAGCACCAATCACCATCAACGGGAGAGACTTGACAGAGACTACCTCCTTCACTTATCTAGGAAGCATCGTCTCAACCACAGGCGACAGCATGTATGAAGATTTCAAAGTCAGCCAGCCAGCCAGAATCGGTTAGGCAAGATACACCTTCATCAACTTGAAAGCAGTTTGGAAATCTTCCGCAGTCAGTCAGTATTAAGAACAAAATTCGAATTTTCAACACAGATGTGAAGTCAGTCAGTTGGTGCCTCTATACGAGTCAAAAATCCGCACTGCGCGTCACAAAAAGCATTACCAGCAGGCTACTGCAGACCTTTATCAACAGCTGCCCGCTTCACCGGCTCCAAGATCAAATAGCAAGCCGACAAGAAAGAATTAGTAACAAAAACCTCTGGCTGGGAACAAACCAACCAAGAGCCGGTTGCTCAACAAATATGTAGGAGAATGTAGAGATGGATCAGAGCATACACCACTGAGGAGGTCATCGAATGAAATCGCGCGCAGTGCAGGTCATCAATTCTGTGGAATCCGAATGGGAAGTGGCGAGTGGGTCATCGCTTCGAGAGTGACATGGAGGAGATATGGGAGATTGTAGGCGATCGTGAACCCATTTGAAGAGGATAGTAGGAAATAGAAGAAAGCGGAGATGTGTTGTTGAAGCCCCCAAGAGAATAATAATGATAATAATAAAACTTTTGTAACTACTGTCTTAAAATGTTGTTTTCAATTTTGGCGGCGTCTATATACTACTGATAAATCTTGTCAGTAGAGTACACGATACGCCAGTGATTCTCAATTCATGATAAAACCTACTTTCAGGCCGATCGATTACGATTGCTTAAAAGATCCACCATATGAAAAGTTTTTATGTAACTATATATATTATCATAAAGATAGTTTTTTTGAAAAAAGCAAAAGCTAAAGACAGTTCTAGTCATATTTCACCTGATGTTCAACAAAACCAATCATCAATATCGTGCTGTAAAGATAAATAAAAAGAAAATTAAATTTCCTCTTGCCGATCACAAGCGCTTCTCTATTTTGTTCCGTTGGTAGAGAAAAGTAACTTTTGTCGAAAATAATTTCTAATGACAGACATAGCATAGTTCGGCGATAGACTGAAATAAGAGGAAAGTAGAAAAATTTATATAAGAATATGATATGATTGTGAGCAATAAGTTGTGCTCGAAACGTGATCATCAGTAAATATTACTACTGTATAACACCGTGAGACTTTATCAAAATACATTTTATCCATAATGGAATTGGCTAAGATAAATTCAAATGTCAACTTATGTTCGCTGTTCAGTAATCACTGATTAAGCTGATATTTCACTGAGTCTACTGTTATTCACTCCATTTAATAAACTGACGTGAGGATTGATTACATTTCAAAAATATACACTATTAATTATTTAGAGACATGTTATTCAAGTGAACATGCTCCACGAAAAAGGCATGAAATCAAACGACAAAATTTCAGAATGTTGAATAAGAGTCAAAACATTCTTTTTAATTTCAGTTGGTCAATTTCCGGAGCCTAAAGAGAGTCTAAAAATGATCGGTCTGACATTTTCTCAAGTTAAAAGGTTTCTTCTGAGAATTGTCGTGTAACAACAACCTCTTTTACCCACCTGGGAAGCATCGTTTCAACTACAGGCGGAACTGACGAGGATATCAAAGCAAGAATCGAAAAAAAAAGACAAGCTTTCACTACACTCAAGTCTGTGTGGAGGTCAACAGCACTCAGCATGAAAAATAACATCCGGATTTTCAACTCCAATGTGAAGTCAGTCAGTTCTACTATACGGATCAGAGACTCGCACTGCACGTCATAAAGAGCATCTCAAACAAACTACAGACCTTCATTAACAGTTGTCTTCGCTCAATACTCAAGATCAGATGGCCGGCCAGAAAAGATCAGCAACAGAGAGGGATCTCTGGGAGCGAACCAACCCAGCAGGAACCGATTGTGAAACAAATAGGCAGAAAGAAATGGAGATGGATTGGCCATACTCTGAGGAAACCATCAAGTGACATCACTAGACAAGCCATTGCTCGAGTGGAACTGGAAAGGGAAGTGGTGAGTTGGTCGTCAGTGCAGAGGTGACTTGGGGGAGGTGATGTGAAGAGAAGATGAAAATGTGTGGGCAGACATGGAGCCAGGTGAAGACTGTAGTAGAGAACCGAACGCAATGGAGACGCACGGCTGAAGCCCTATGGTCCTCTATGAATTAAAGGAAACAATAATAATAAGCAAACAGTCGAGGGTATCGCAAAATTTACTTACATCTTTAAGATAGCCATTAGGCGAACAATACGAGGAATATAGACAACTGATTTGTTCCGAAGAACACCATCTACAATCTGTCTGGCACATTCTTCTGGTTCTAACAGTGGGAGTAATGGAGAATTTCTATGTTTAAAAAACACAACAACAACAACAAAATGAAGAAGTGAAGAAAGTTTCTAGAATTTAGGCATTAAAATCAAATGGAACACTAATCAAAATTTATGTACATACCTACCGAAATAATGTTGTTAGGCAGGTTCACCGTATCATTATGTTGTAAAATGAATAGCAGAACTCCTGGAACCATATAGGAAGGCAAGTCGGTACCTATTCTTTGTATGGCACTGCTGAATTTGTTAATTGAGTTAATGATATTAATGTTACTGGTAAAACTGTATTATCACTTGATGAATGCTTACTTTTTACCAATGTTCCATTAAATGGAACTGTATGCTTAATTTGCATTTACATAGATTAGATAATGTCAACGTAGGAAAGCCCACAGCATACCCAAAAGAGCTCATACTTCGATGTACTCAAAATGTCCGAATTCTTTTCAACAGCGAAATTTATAGAAAGAGAGATGGGGGAATCTATGTGTTCGCCACTTGGTCCGTTGCTAGCAGACTTCTTTTTGGCTAGTATGAAGAGCGGTACTCTAAAGTATGCTATCATTATCATTGTTTCCCTTAATTCCTAGAGGAAAATAGGGCTTCAGCCGTGCGTCTCCATTGCGTTCGGTTCTCTGCTAGAGTCTTCACCTGGCTCCAAGTCTGCCCACACATTTTCATCTTCTCTTCACATCACCTCCCCCAAGTCACCTCTGCACTGACGACCAACTCACCACTTCCCTTTCCAGTTCCACTCGAGCAATGGCTTGTCTAGTGATGTCACTTGATGGTTTCCTCAGAGTATGGCCAATCCATCTCCATTTCTTTCTGCCTATTTGTTTCACAATCGGTTCCTGCTGGGTTGGTTCGCTCCCAGAGATCCCTCTCTGTTGCTGATCTTTTCTGGCCGGCCATCTGATCTTGAGTATTGAGCGAAGACAACTGTTAATGAAGGTCTGTAGTTTGTTTGAGATGCTCTTTATGACGTGCAGTGCGAGTCTCTGATCCGTATAGTAGAACTGACTGACTTCACATTGGAGTTGAAAATCCGGATGTTATTTTTCATGCTGAGTGCTGTTGACCTCCACACAGACTTGAGTGTAGTGAAAGCTTGTCTTTTTTTTTCGATTCTTGCTTTGATATCCTCGTCAGTTCCGCCTGTAGTTGAAACGATGCTTCCCAGGTGGGTAAAGGAGGTTGTTTCTTTCAGGTTCCTCCCATTTATGCTGATTGTTGTCTGTTGTTGTTGCTGTGGCTGTTGGTGTTGGCCAGGAATTTTCATCACCTCTGTTTTCTCTGTGTTCACCTTAACTCTTTCCTCTCTGTGATGCTTCTTCTGCCAACTTGTTGCTTTTCGCTTACATATCTTCCACTTTGTGGTAAATCAGACATATATCATCGGTGAAGTCCAGATCCTCCAAGTTTTTTGTGTGAGTCCATTTTATGCCTGTTTCCTCATTGCCCGCTGTTTGTCGCATTATCCAGTCTGCTGCAATCCATAAAATCATTGGCGATAGTAGGCAGCCAGCTTTGTCTTACTCCTGTCCTCACTTCGAAGAATTCCGTAAGTTTTCCGTTGTGGATTACTTGGTATGCAGCATTGTCGTACAACTGTTGGATGAGATGTATAATTGTCGGTGTCACCCCGTAGTAGCGAAATAGTTGCCAAATCATTTCTCGATCGACGCTGTCGAAGGCCTTTTCAAAGTCGATGAAGTTGAGATAGAGAGGTGACTGCCATTCTAAGGTTTGTTCAATGATGATCCGTAGTGTGGCGATTTGATCAATACATGACTTGTTTCTCCTGAATCCAGCTTGTTCCGGTCGAAGTTTTTCATCCAGGGCTTGTTTGATCCTTTCCAGGATGATGCGGCTTAGTATTTTGCTTGGGATGGACAGGAGCATAATTCCGCGCCAGTTCTTGCATTGACTTAAGTCTCCTTTCTTTGGTAGTTTGAATAAGTATCCTTTCTTCCAATCCTCGGGTACTTTGCCTTCTTTCCACACCTTCTCCAGTAGTGGCGTCATCAAGTCCGCTGTTGTTTCTGGGTCTACTTTCAATGCTTTACGATTCATTAATCCAACAATAATAATAATAAAGATAATAATAAACTATTTCTGAGAAACTCACGATCCTGTAATAAGTCCGACTAATTTTGTTCTTACAATATGCGGGATAACACGAGTAATGTGTATTTGGTCAGCAACACCCATCTCTTTCAATTCTAATTCTAAACTTTCAGATAATAATAAACCGCCTGCTTTAGTTGCACAATAATCTGTATACCGAGGAACTGGCAATAATCCCCCACCAGAGGATACATAGACAATATGACCACGTGCAGGTTTATTGTTCGTGTGATTTGAACAGTTTGATGACATTGACGTGCCAAGCATGCCTGGTAGAAATCCTTTGATCAGCTATATAAGATAAAGACGAAGGACATAAGAAAAGGAAAACAGAATGTGTACAATCACACTATATATTCATCGTTATTATTAAAGTTAAAGCTACGTGCAGTATCTGCTATAAAACATTGAATAAAATTTGAAATTTTCGAATTTCCCGCCATATGATTTCGTTCAATGGAAATGCTCAGTCCTTATTAACATGCCGTTTCCTAGGACGGATGCCTCATCGATATCTAAGGATTAGTGTGAAGTTATTTTGATTGATAGTAACTAGCAGTGAGATCTGGGATGCTCATTTTGTGCTATTTTGGGGCTCGTCAGATGAGTATACCTGCATCCCAGGCAAAAAAAATATACCAATTAGGAGGTGAACAGTACAAAATGCTTCTAAGAAGGAAGAAGCACAGAGAGGTTGAATTTTTTTCTTCTGCACTGCTTAGTTTAGGCCTCAGAAGGCATTGAGCCGAAGACTGGTTAGTTCACAGGAGGAGATGAATGAAATCCAAACGTTTCTAACCGTCGGTGGTTACCAATTTAATCTTGTGAACACCAACGCAGTGAGTCAAAATAAAGAGCAGTCGCACAAAAAGTTCTCTAGCTTGTCACACTGCCGTTCTCTAACTGCAAATATTTAATTAGATTTCCTCACACCTATTTATCCATTTATGATAATTAACCTCCAGTTTAGCGCCAAAAATGTTTTGCTTTATTGAAAGATGGTTAGAGGTTATACATAGGAGTTTATAGACATAAATTCCGTGTTTACTGGTACTGTGGCGGATACAGATTGATAGGAAGCGGCTAAAAAGTGCGATCAACATTTTAAGTCAACGGTTGTACAGGCAGAAGTGTCTATTCCTCAAATCTAGATTTATTTCACTCAGTGGATAAGAAATAAGCTCATTACAGAAATCGTTTAATTTTGATTTGACACTAGTAACTAGTGTGATGCGTCTAGTCCTCTCTTTGGTGCAGCCTGAATTCTATCAGTCAGGTTGTAATGTGACCACCATTCTAGGTAGCTCGCCATCACGGTGTACATTGTTTGTGATGATATTAGATGGTTGGAGGCAATCGGTAGGAAGCCTGATGGGTGGAGGCAATCGGCAGGAAGCTTCCAACCATCTAATATCATCACAAACAATGTACACCATGATGGCGAGCTACCTAGAATGGTGGCCACATTAAAACCTGACTGATAGAATTCAGTTTGCATCAAAGAGAGGACTAGACGCATCACACTAGTTACTAGTGTCAAATCAAAATATCCACCACAGTCCTACAGCAGGTCAATCGCGAGCCCGAATAGCTCAGAGGTAACGTCTGTGACTGCAGCACTGGGTGACGCGGGTTCGAATCTGAGAAGGGACATGGGTTCCTTCAAGGTTGCAGATATGCCTTGCTGAAGAGTGCCAACTAGCACGAAACCTAGGTCCAAGGCTTCCTGTGGCCGATTGCCTCCAACCGTCTAATATCATCAGAAATCGTTTAACTTTTGGCCAATTGAAAACTAATCAGAACAGTTTATTCCCCCCTGATCTAGCCGAACTTTAATGTGTCTAAGAATGTATAAATAAATACGATGTGTTTTTCCTGAACAAAGGTCTGTTATCAAGTCTCTTGTCTTCTGTTGTTACAGTACTCGTCGGCAAAGCGTATGTACAACGTTAAAGGAAATGATGTAGCTCGCGAGAAATCGAACAACTCACGACACGTATCAATGTAATCCGAGATTTTTCCACTAAACTTTTCAGCATAAAACATAGTTGCAAAACTTCCATCTGTTATGATGAGTCATCTACTCGGTTCGCCGTATTGCACACCTTACTGATAACATTTTGGTCAGCACCAACACTACAGGATTAGATACCAGTTATTGCATAGTGACTAATCAGTATATATGTGGCTTTTCAATGACTTGAAGACCAATTACAAGTTTAGATATGATGGAGAAGATTTGTAGCTCAGATGGATGATTTTGATGTGGTTGTGTTCATTGAGCTGGATAGTTTTATTTGCGAAGCTTGCATTGACCTACCCGCACTAGGCAACATCTTCAGCGCATGCTTCAATTTGCTGAAGTGAGCTTTTAGATTCCTCCACGAGTTTATTAATCATCTCTCCTGGTGGGTGACCTTGAACGTGACTGGTTGCTTTTGTGTGTTTACACATCTTCTAGGCTATTTGTATTGGAACTGATCGTTTTCTTTGACTTGAATTTTGACATTTTGTGTGTGAGGAAACGACGAGTTCCAATACAAGTAGCCTAGAAGGTGTGAAAACACACAAAAGCAACCAGTCACGTTCAAGGTCACCCACTTGGAGAGATGACTAATAAAAACTCACTTCAGGAAATTGAAGTGTGCCCTGAAGATGTTGCCTAGTAAGTAGGTCAATGAAAGCTTCGCAAATAAACTATCCACCAGCTCAGTGAACACAACCACATCATAATTACAAGGTTAGTTAACAAGAAAAATATATATGTGTTATTTTGTGTGCTTGTGTACATACATACATATGCAAATATATAGATGACAACCATCTCAATATTGGAATACCAACAACATGTTTGAAGGAATTACTATTGAGATGCACTCTAAACGTCCAGTTCACATTCAACGACACCATCTACAGACAAAAAGATGGTATTGTAATGGAATCTCCATTGGGTCCACTACTATCAGATTGCTTCGTTGCAACCCTCGAGAAAGGTCTACTAAAGCCAAGCATTGAAAATTTGCGACTGTATAAAAGATACGTAGATGACATATTCATTATTTGTGACAACAACAATGACCCCAATCTACTGCTGAAGACATTTAACTGTTGCCATCCAGCGATAAAATTCACTCTTTAAATGGAAAACGAGTCAAAAATTCCGTTTCTTGATGTGGAACTAACAAGAAGAACTGATGGGAGCCTAAGAAGATCGATCCATAGAAAACCTACTTGGAATGGTCAACTAACAAGCTTCTATATCTGGGTACCCATTCAAAAAAAGCGGAATTTAATTAAATCACTTGCCACCCGCATCCCACGCATCTGTAGTCCGACGTTCTGGAAACAGAATTAGATATTCTAAGAGAAATTTTCATCCAAAATGGATACCCAATAAGATTCATCGACAAAAATATCAAACCAAGAATTCGGAGAAACGAAACTTTAATTGCGCCAAAAAAGAAACTCTACATGAACTTGGATTTCAAGGGAGATTTAGCAAGCGATATTCTCAAGAGAAGGATCACATCATCTCTGAGAAGAACATTCTTTGCAGCAACGCTAAGAATAGTGTTCTCCAGTCGCCCACTGATCTGCAGAAGCCTCAAGGACAAGATCCCACATCTGACCACTTCTGTGTGCATATATCAGTTCACCTGCTGCTGTGGAGCCAGGTACATCGGTCGTTCGACGCGCATCCTGTCCAAGAGGATTCAAGAACACTATCCAGCATGGTTGCGAAAAGGCAATAGTGGTGCAATAAGGAGTGCTATAATTGAACACCTGGTTAACACTGATCATTCCATTTCAACAAACGCCTCCTTCAAAGTAATCTACAGAGTCAAGAATAACCTATCAAAGGCAATACGGTTTCGCCTTCTTTGTATCGCTGAAGCTCTGACCATTCACATAGAAAAACCGGAGCTGTGCATACAAAAGAGGATTACTCAACCACTTCTACTGTCTTGGCAACAACTTTGTTGATTTTTGATGACTTAATTTTGTTTGTTTGCCTGTTTCTTCAATTGCTTATAATTCTTGTATTCATTTAGAACTCTTACGTAATTTCGTATTATCTACTTTGTTCCTATGTGCATCCTGAGTAAAACTCACTCATCAAACTATTCATATTATTACATAACTTCATTTAACAACTGTTTGTGACAACTCATCACCTTTGTTACTACCCTAATTTCATTAACACCTAATTTTCTTGACTGATTTTGTGTATTACGTAACTCCAATTACCAGTCTTCACCTGTTTAGTTAAAATAACTATAACCAATTGTATTTTTGTTTGACAAACTTAATGTACACATACATGCAAAATAACACATATATATTTGCGAATGTACAGCTAAGAAAATGAATTCGCCGCCGAAAAGAGACTCTTCGCTGATCTACGTGTTTTGTTTTCATTAATGCCTGGATGGGGATTATACATGAACAAGAAAAATGTTACAAAATTATATACTTACATAGAAGTACGCATAAAGATTGACTCTGAAGCATTTATCAAATTTGTCTAAACTTAGATGCAACAATGGCAATAAGTTGATAATTGCAGCATTATTCACCAAGATTGTAACACGACCATAATCTTGTAGTATTTCATTGACAATACGGTCAATGTCTGTTAGAGAACTTTTTGTATAAAGGATAAAACAAAAAGAATTATTTTTTGTTTGGATAATGTTTCATGTATAGGCATAATTTAATTTGCAACTTTTGCAATAACAACAGACCTTACTTCTTACGAAGAAGTTCCATTCTGGAATATTTGATCAACTTCTACCAGTCAACCAATCTAGAAAATGATTTATTGATGATTCATGCACGAACCTGCAGTATTTTGCTTCATCTTCGGCTTCTTAAAACAGCTGAGGTCATGTATATCAAACGGAGTATTTATGTTCAGTGCCTCTGTTTACTTTAGTCTTATGAGAACCGAGAGAGAAGAGAAAAAAGGAAGATGCAGTCATGGTTTTACTTTGTTAGACCACTCTGTTCATCTCTCTGTGATTCATAGAGGAAAACTTAATTCTAAGCCTTTTAAGTGAAGATAGGTGTAAAAAGCAAGCGAAAACAAGGAGAATCTCCGAATCCCTGAAGAAGACTTTTCCGGCAGCAACTCTAAGAGTGACATTCTCTAGCCGCCCACTTCTTCGGAGCAATGGGAAGGACAAACTGTCTCATATGACCAATTCAATGTGCATTTACCAGTTCACCTGCTCGTGCGGAGCAAGGTACATAGGTCGTTGTATGCGCGTCATTTCAAAACGTGTTAGAGAACACTACCCAGTGTGGCTGCAAAGAGGAGGCACCGGTTCAATCAGAAGTGTCATTATTGAGCATCTGATCAATACCTCCCACAACATCTCAACTGATTCACTCAAAGTAATTTACAAAGTCAACAGAAACCTACCGAAAGCAGTTTGTTTCCGACTTCTCTGTACTGCAGAAGCCCTCACAATATGCATCGAGAAGCCGGAGCTGTGTGTTCAAAAGAAATTAGTCCAACCTCTACAACTACCATGACCTTAGTACGGTATGTTACCGTAGCTTCCGTTTCTGTTTTTTTTTGTTTTTTGATCCCTTTTCGTTCGCTATGTGTGTGATTCTTACTCCCTCAGTCTTCATTCGATTCACCCCATTTTTTTACAGCTATAAAAACAGTTATTTTAAGTTTGTTTCCATGCTTTTCCTGTTCACATTTATAATCCGTTTAAAAAAAAAATTTACAATTATATCTTAATCCTGTGCAATTTTTTGTGTTTCTAAGGCTCTTGTAATCCATATTCACACCTCCTAACTTCCATTTTTAAGCTAAAACTATTATATCAATTTTTGTTTCCATGCTCATTTTCTGCACACCTATAATTTGCTAAATCCCATGTAATTTTGTTTCTAAGGCTCTTGTAATCTATATTCACACCTCCTAACTCCCATCTCAAGTTGAAAATTATTATTTCAATTTTGCTTCCATGCTCATTTTTACACACTTGATATCCGTTCTAATCCTGCGTAATTTTGTTTCTAAGCCTCTCGTAAAACCATATCTAGTTGGAAATAATTATCACCTTTAATTCGCCGTCGTAATTATGTAGAATCAAACAACAATTGTCTCCATGTAAAATTATGTATTTAAATGCGATTGTACAGCTTTTGAAAATGAAATCGCCGAAAAGACAGTTATCTTTGCTGAACTTCTTATTCTTCTCAAAAACAAGACTGTCTACTATCAGCTTTGATGTTGCTGACCACGATGGAATGGATCATATCACAGACCGTGGAGCAGGGGAAGAATAGCATACGTTGGAATGAAAGAAAGACACTAGAAGATCTGGACTTCGCGAATGGTGATTTATGTCTAAGATCACACAAACTTGAAGACTTACAGGTGAAAACCAACAAGGTGGAAGAAGGAGCAGCGTAGATAGGACTCCAAGTGAACATAGGGAAGTCAGAGACTTTGAATATACCTAACCAACAACAGCAACAGCAACAACAGCAGCAGGCATCAATCACCATCAGTGGTAAGAGTCTACAGAAAATCACTTCTTCCATTTGAATAGACATCAATGTTGTAAATACAGGTGACAGGGATGGCGATAAGAAAAGTGGGGACGTGAAAACAGGAATTTGACCTTCATTGATCTGAAACCATTGCCGAAATCCACTGCACTCAGCATAAAGAACGAGATTCGGACTTTCAACACCAATGTCAGAGACTCGACGTGTCACTAGAAGGGTTCAAAAAGGCTTCTGCAGACTTTTATCCTTAGCTGAATACTTCAGTTTATACTGAAGGTCAGATGGCTGGCCGTGAAGGATTAGCAACAAGGGGCGAAACAAACAAGAATCTATTGACCAACAGATATCAGACACACATGAAGGAGACCGCCGAAAGACTTCGCGCTCCAGGCTGTCACTAGAGCAGAACCCGAATAAGCGTCCATATGTAACAATGAGACCATGTGAGGAAGAGGAGGAAGAGCAGGTGGAGATGAGAGCTTACGAGCAAATCTTGGATCTAGAGAAAGACGATGACAGGAAACAGGGTGAAAGGGAGATTCGGTGTTAAAGCTCTATGCTTCAATTGGGATCAAAAGCCTTTAGTTTGTACAAATATGCATTTTATTGTATTCCATGTGGTCTACGCTTTAATTGTAAAGGCTTCGCTGGCTGCCTTCTTACACCACTGGGCTACTCAACTTTCCATTCAGAATAATACTCCTACTTTTCTGTGATTCTTGTTGTTTTAAGCCTCCAATTGTGTCTTGGGATTCCAACATGAACTCAAACCGCAAACTTTGAATTGACTTCCAACTTGTTACTGTGTAGTGTACTTCGAAAAGAAAATAAAGGAAAAAAAGTGTCACGGAAAGTCGAGTCATGGTTTAGATGAAACGACGGTGTGTCATACGATGGCTACTGTCGATGCATCTTTTACTTGGAGATTCTATACTGAAAATAAATATTTCTCTTCTCTTCTCTTCAGCAATGACGTGCTGCAAGGTGTTTGAACTCTTTTAAACAATGTCTGTACACAGTTTATTCTGTGAGTCACTGTGTTATCGCTGTTATAACTGAGTATTTGAAATTAAAGGAAGAATTCTGTATTGTGAGTGAGCATAATTTCCAGAATAATGCTGATATTTTAATAATTATTCTTTGTTCCCTTGACAACAACAGCGCTAAATTCAATGAAAGCGTTACATTAATAAGCTAACCAAGCTTAGGGAGGACAGAAACCTACAAAAAACATCCAACTTAGCTATAAATTTATTTCACTGTTTCGAATTTAAACAACTTCCACAGTCATTCAAGTTGAGCACTTTTTTGAGATAAGAAACATTCTGTTTCAACCAGACTGTTTTTCGCCATAACAAGAAATATTCTTTAGTTCTGGTAATCTTAATAATTGTGAGAGCACCTTTCCGAGATTAATACACCCTATGAAAGATTTTACACATTACATAATCTACCTTATGATCATTCAGTATTCTTAACTAGAATCACGATAAATTAGTCGTAATTGAGTGATGATATTTGTAACTTCAAAGACATTCATTATTTACACTTTCACAGGGGTTAAAGGTATCAAAAAAGGGCAACTCTAAAGAATAGCAGCCCAAAGTGAAACTACCTAGCGAACGGATAAATGACCTTGAACAATCAATCAGGTAACTCCATATTTTCCAGACGTATTTATGGGTGCTTTACACCTTTTGCGTTGCGAATTCGCTCGACATCTTGTTTTTGATTACTGTTTGGAGAACGGACTGATAGGAATGTCGAAAAATTGCCAATGTGGAGGTGTCATTCATATGCAAAGATACAATAGGTGCATCGATGGGTTTGTTTGTTGGTGAAATGAGTGCCGAACCAGAAAATCAGTTGGAGAACCTATGTCGTTCGGTTTTAATTCACAGATTCCTTAGGTACTTTTGATAAAAAGAAAATATAATCGAGGGAGATTGAGTGTGAATCAGCAATAGGTATTGGGGATATATGACACCAGCCTCCAGAGAGGATATATTGGGGCGATCCCTAATCGCAGGACAGGTGTATTATTGTCTATTATCCAGCGCTTAGTGCTGCCTGGGACGACTATTCATACAAATGAATGGAGTAGTTACAGTCAGTTATCGAATCTGGGCTATATTCATCAAGTGGACAACCATACAAATGGTTTTCTCAATCCTTTTAATGGAACTCACACTAATTCCATCGAAAGTTTCTGGAGTCATCTAAAAGAACGTATCAGATCTGTGAATGGATCAAGAAATGCAATGATATACAGTTATCTCGATGAGTTTATCTACAGGACTTGGTTTAACATGAGTATCAAGACTCCTATGAGAAATTGGCAGGTTTTTTCGCTACTTAGAACGTTGTCTTTTGTAACTATTTTTTAACATTGCATTACTTTTATATAAACGATTTATTACAATTATGGGCCGTTTTTGAGCCTTCCGATTGGTCGAAGTTGTCCTTGTCAAGGTCATTTGTCCGTTCTCTAGGTAGTTTTGGTTTGGGCTGCTATTCTTTAGAGTTGCCCAAAAATGTATTGAAGACGTGGTTCACTGGAGTAGACAGTAGACTTTCGAGTTCGATTCCCTTTCTATCTACGTCAGCGTGGACAGTTGATTAGTATCACCAGCCCTCAAACAGTAAGTAAGTGTGGCTCATAGTTTGGAACATGAAAAATTTCATAACGCAACAGCAGAAGGCAAGACACGGAAACTAAGGTATATTTTTCATTAACCAAACCGCTGCTTGTATATATATAAGCAGCGGAACAAGTCAAGTATTGATCAAATCGCCACATTACGGGTCATCATTGAACAAAGCTTGGAATGTCAGTCACCTCTCTATCTCAACTTCATCGACTCTGAAAAGGCCTTCGACAGCGTCGATCGAGAGGTGATTTGGAAACTACTACGCTACTATGGGATACCACCGACAATTATACGTCTCATCCAACAGTTGTACAAAAACAAGGCTGCATGCCAAGTTATTCACAACGGGAAACTTACGGAATCCTTCGAAGTGAGGACAGGAGTAAGACAAGGCTGCCTATTATCGCCAATGGTTTTCTTGATTGCAGTAGACTGGATAATGCGACAAACAGTGGGCAATGAGAAAACAGGCATAAAATGGACTCACACAAAAAACTTGGAGGATCTGCAATTCGCCGATGATATATGTCTGATTTCCCACAAACTGGAAGACATGCAAGCGAAAAGTAAAAGTCGGCAGAAGAAGCATCAAAGATAGGACTTCAGGTGAACATAGAGAAGACAGATGTGGTAATGAAGATTCCTGGACAACACCACCAACAGCAACAACAACAGACAACGATCAGCATAAATGGGAGGAACCAGAGAGAAACAACCTCCTTCACATACCTACCTGGGAAGCATCGTTTCAACTACAGGCAGACGGAACTGACGAGGATATCAAAGCAAGAATCGGAAAAGCAAGACAAGCTTTCACTACTCTCAAGTCTGTGTGGAGGTCAACAGCACTCAGCATCAAAAATAAGATCAGGATTTTCAACTCCAATGTGAAGTCAGTGCTATTATACGGATCAGAGACTTGGCGTGTCATAAAGAGCATCTCAAACAAATTACAGGCCTTCATTAACATTTGTCTTCGCTCAATACTCAAGATCAGATGGCCGGTCAGAAAAGATCAGCAACAGAGAGGCATCTCTGGGAGCGAACCAACCATAAAACCGATTGTGAAACAAATAAGCAGGAAGAAATGGAGATGGATTGGCTGGCCATACTCTGAGGAAACCATCAAGTGACATCACTATACAGGCCATCGCTCGAGTGGAACCCGAAAGGAAGCGGCGAGTTGGTCGTCAGTGCAAGGGTAACTTGGAGGAGGTCATGTGAAGAGGAGATGAAGGCGTGTGGGCAGACTTGGAGCCAGGTGAAGACTCTAGCAGAGAACCGAACGCAATGGAGACGCACGGCTGAAGCCCTATGTTCCTCTGGGAACTAAAGGAAATAATAATATATAAAGTTCATATTCGTTAACCAATCACTGAGCGTGTGATTTTAGTTTACATTAAACGAAATGAAATAGAATGTTCACATTTATGTTACTAATGCCATACTGAACTGTGGGAATATGTGAGAATCATGTTTTCATTGGAACACACTGTCTGTATCACACCACACCACAATATGAATATACAGTTTGATAATAATAATAATAAAAAATACGTTAGAAACAGCCAATTTTCTCTGTGATTATCCTTCTATCAGTGTTAAAATAATAAGATGTTAAAATTATTAGATTACTAAAAAGTATTGATTTACCTTAAATCACATAAGTATTGTTTAATTTGTACACCTCTTCGATTTTTCACATAAACAGCAGTTTCCTGAAGACCTTCTTCATCCACATCCAACGCCAGTATATTTGAACAATGTTTAGAAAATTGTAGACACATTTCACGACCAATTCCATTTCCTGCACCTATATATGTCGAACAAAAAAAGAAAATAAGTAACTTTATCAAGATAAAAAATGATGAATTTGTTCAGAGGACTTATGGATAAACAGAAAATATTCTTGAATTAACAAAGAAGAATAATTTTAGCTAAGGTGGATGATTTCGATTAATCGAATGGAGGATTTCATCATGAGCTAACATCAGTTGGAGAACCACTGGAAAACCTGCAGGGAGTACTGGACAGCTGTTACATCCTAGTTTGGGACTCTTCATCAGTACGCACCCACCGGGGTTCGAACCCAGGACCTTCTGGTTACAAGGCGAGCCCGTAGACCATTGAGCCACTGGGACCCGATCCACTGGCACACGAATTCTAACTTCTACCAATTCATGACATCGCTCGACCATTTCGCAATGACTTCTTCGATGAGTTACTGCCTCATCTTCAACCTGCTGTACCCTACTAGTCACGGCTGCCTACTAGAACCCCAGATTAACTGCCTGAATAGGGCCAGTCACTAGTGAGCATCACATTAATTTTCAAGTATTGGGAAGCCGTGACCAGTAGGGTACAGCAGGTTGAAGATGAGGCAGTAACTCATCGAAGAAGACATTGCGAAATGGTCGCGCTATGTCGTGAATTGGCAGAAGTTAGAATTCGTGTGCCAGTGCATCGGGTCCCAGGAGCTCAATGGTCTACGAGCTCGCCTTGTAACCAGAAGGTCCTGGGTTCTAATCACGATGGGTGCGTACTGATGAAGAGTCCGAAACTAGGACGAAACAGCTGTCCAGTACTCCCAGATTTTCCAGTGGTTCTCTAACTGATGTCAGCTCGTGATGAAATCCTCTATGTAATCAAACAAAATCCCTACTAAACCAATATTTGGAGATTTTGATTAAGTTGTATTCCCTCAGCTGGTTGATTTCAATACAGAGTTTTCGTTGTCCTTCTAGACTCACAGAACTGACAGAACTACGTCCTACAACATATTTGCAGTTGAATAATCGAATATACAAATAGATAAGAGGAGCACCAATGGGATCGCTTATATTACGACTGATTGCTGAAGCCATCATGTAAAGATTAGAATTAATAGCTCTACCTATAATAAAAGCAAAAGTCTGGGTACGTTATGTTGCCGACATATTCGTAATAATTAAAAGAAATTATTTGGAATATACCCATAAATTAATCAACAATATATTTGAAGATATTAAATTCACAAGAGAAAAAGTATTAAACAACAAAATCCCATTCTTAGATGTCTTTCTTAATCAAGAAGACTAACACAGGAGATTTTGAAACACAAGTATATAGAAAATCAATGCACATAGACCGAATACTCACTCATAATAATAATAATAACCCGACTACCCACAAAATAAACTGTGTGCAGACATTGTTGAAAAGAGTTCAAACACCCTGTAGCACACTAGTGCTGACGAGAATAGAAGAAAAATATCTGTTAACTGTCTTCAAGAAGAATTTCATCAATAATGTTTAAATTTTTAAGTGGAGGAAACACCAAACATGCCATGGAATTTCTAGAAACCTCGTACTCAAATAAATCAGCGATTAACAAACATAATACTACCGATAAAATTTACCAACTAATAGAAAATAAATCACATGATAAAAATGTTCAAATTTCAAGTTCAATAAAAATATGATCAACAGAGACGTTAAAATAAAAAACCAGTCACAACAATGGCTGTTAGGAGACACATCCAATGGAGAATTCAAATAAATTGATAGCGTTGCCTAGATGGACAATATAAAAGCTTCACAATTCCGCCAATCACCTCAGAGAATACATGTAAATCAAGAAAATATTCTTTTCGGTAAATTATTCATCAGGGTTCTGCCTTCTCTAGGTTCACAATTTTGTGATATACGCAAACGAATCAAGCACATAGATTCAGATTATATTATATATTATTGTTTCCTTTAATTCCTAGAGGAACATAGGGCTTCAGCCGTGCGTCTCCATTGCGTTCGGTTCTCTGCTAGAGTCTCCACCTGGCTCCAAGTCTGACCACACGTTTTCATCTCCTCTTCACATGACCTCCTCCAAGTCACCCCACCCTCACACTGACGACCAACTCGCCGCTTTCCTTTCGGGTTCCACTCGAGGGCTAGTCTAGTGATGTCACTTGTCGTGACCTTGACGCGCTTTTCTATTGTGACGCTACATTTACTCAGTTATATGAAACTTTTATGTCTATGGAGTTTCTTGCCAAAAAGTTGTGGAACTCATTGTAATTATTTGCCTTTCGAACACTGAATCTGTGGATATAATCTTGTTGCCTGATAATACATACAACTATCTGCTTGGCACTTTTTGTCTGTCTAACACTAATTAATATCTACAATTGTATATATTGATCGACTGACATGTTCAAGTTGGCTCAAGTCAATAAGTCTATGATTTTGGTATCATTTTTGTTAACTTTATTTGACTGTGATACCACTGCTTACGTTTTGCTTCTTTTTATTGTTTTGTCGCTTGTTGCCCTTCTTGTTGTGGATTATTTTCCTTTTGCTGGTGTTGTTCTGATTGTTTTATTCCTTGTTTTCCTGGTTTTAAGAGGAGCAACCCACAAGGTCACTTCTCTGTAAACTATATTTTAATGTAACAATCCCCTTCTCAGGTGTGAGGCTAGCAACCCCACCTTGTGAACAAAGTTGCTACAGAAACTTCAGCACGATGAATCTCTTCGCGCCAAAAGAAAAAGTCTGTGTGGGGACATAGATGCAGATACTGACTTCAAAAACTTACATAATCAGATAAGTGATCTAGTTGTATGCTCCAACGTGGAATTAAAACACTATAAATCCAGTCTAGTAGATTCTTGTTATCGATGCAAAGATATCAGGTACAACTGTATAAGTATCCTCACAAAAGGGACACAGAGAAGAACTTAGAAAAATTGATAAATGACAAAGGATTGATAAATACAGGATCTGATACAGGATCGAGAGTAGTATTCCTGCATGACAGAAATGATTACATTTAAAGAGATGAGTGACATACTTAGAGACAAACAGTAGCTTCAAAAACTAAAGGACAATACAGATTTTTGAAAAATTCAGAATTCATGGGCCACTGTGGCTTAATGGTCTACGAGCTAGCTCTCCCGCCTTGTAACCAGAATTTCCTGGGTTCTAACCCTAGCGCTGGGTGCGTACTGATGAGGAGTCCCAAACTAGGCTGACGATACAACTGTCTAGTACTCCCTGCAGGTTTTCTAATGGTTCTCTAACTGATGTCAGCTCACGATGAAATTCTTTAACCAATAAAAAAAATTAAATAGAAAATAAAAATAACCAGATGCGTATAGAAACTAAAGGAGGAGCATATATTGATGGAATCATACTCACAGGCACACATACCAAGTTTATACGACTTATCCGAAATAGATAGATCTGGAATGCTCTTATGAACGATTCTAGATATGTACAACTCGACCTACCATGCTTTCGCTAAATGCTTGGTAAATATCCTAAAACTCTTACATTGGATAACTAGTAAAATATAGTGCGAAAAATGTATTTGAATTCACAAACAGTATTAAAGATAAAGTTATGATATCTTTGGACGTAACACCTCTATTTACAAATGTAACTTTCATTGAAACGGCTAACTGCAGCTGTGAACAAATAAATAACAAGTCCATGAATAACTTGAATATTCCCATAATTTATTCAGAAAACAATAGTTAGAGTGAACACTTGTAGTTTCAATGAATTCTTCTACTTCAGGCTCTACAATTATAAATCCATTAGTTTAAGCATACAATAACCAGCCAGTCAGTCAGCCATTAAAGATAAATTAGAATCATATCAGAAATGTGTATTGTGGAACAAGTATAAGATGTAAAGGGGAAGAAAATGATGTCACTGGATGTAGCACCATTATTCACCGACGTCCCACTGCTCGAAACAATCAACTACTAATGTGATAAACTGATAGAAAGAAAGATAGAAGAAGGAATCTCATCAGAAAACGTCAAGGAATTATTATTGAAATGCACTATGAATGTTCAGTTTATGTTCAACAATGATTTTTATAGACAAGTTGATGATGTTGACATGGGATCTGCTAGCAGATATTTTCCTGGCAAAGCTTGAAAATGGTTCACTCAAAGACACGATCAAGGGGCTTAACTATTATTGTCGATACGTAGATGATACCTTCATCATTTGATCTTCTGAATGCTGTTAATAGTGTTCACGTAGCTATTCAGTTTAAAAGTGAGGAAGAAGACAATAACAGTATACCTTTCCTAGACGTCCTCCTTACCATGAAGACAGACGGATATCTACGAAGGAGCTTATTTAGAAAGAAAACTTGAACGGGTCAGTACACCCATTTTCATAGCTTCACACCGATTCAATACAAAAGAAACTTAGTTTAGTGTCCCAGCTATAGAATAAAACGCATATACTGAGAGGAATGCATTGAGGAGGAAATGTGTAAACTGAAACTTACGTTACAAGAAAATGGATATCCAGAGAATTTCCTAAAAATGTATACGTCAATACCTACAGACAAGGTAAAGGTGAATACCGTAGATAAGAAACCTTTGTATCACAAGTTAAGTTACAAAGGGGAAATTGCAGCTGATATTTTCTAAAATATCAACTTAACAGAGCAGTAGACAGAAAATTTTCTGCAGCCAAAATGGTACTCAACTTCTCAACCAAACCAGAACTCACACAACGAGTCAAGGATAAATAACCAAAGATGGCCTCATCAGTTTGTATCTATGAATTCAACTGCTCATGTGAAGCTAGTTACATTGACCGTACTCAGAGGGCTTTATCCATACGCGCGCGTGAACATATACCTGTATGGTTGAGTAGAGGGGTAACCAAATGCGTCAGTAGTGAAGTCTCAGCCCACTTGTTAGATACTGGACACTAGATGAAACTTAACCAGGCGGTCTCATTTATTTACTGACTTCCTGGTAATCTATCTAGATGAGCTCGATGACGTCTTCTATCAGTAGCTGAAGCAGT